CCCCAAAACCCCAAAACCCCAAAACCCCTAGTTGAATCATTGAATGGGACTAAAAGGGGTAATGAGAATGCTTAAATAAAATTAATACAAATAAATCTAAAGTTGAACTCCAGAATTACAAAGCCAATATAATTATAAATTGAAAATAAGATGATTATGGAAAATACTTCAAATCTACATCAGAGCATATTTCTCACAAAAGATAGTATCAATACATCCTATTTTAAAGGGAATTAAAATATTCCCAACGCCCAAAGCTTAAACAATGAGATGAGAGAGAAGAACTGGATACCAGAAATGAAAATGATAACAAAAAAACTAAATGAAGTAAGGTATGTGATCAACAACAAAGAAATGATGAGTCTGAACCTAGCATTCTACAGTCCTTTGATGCTAAACACAGATGAAAAAAGAATTGATTCCTGCAAGTTCAAATCTGACACTAGATAGAACTTAATGGATATTGGAATAAATACTATGGATCTTTATTTAGATGAATCTTAGCCAACAGAGCTCTAGCTTTTGATGGAAAAATCTAAGAAGAGTAATGCAAATCATTTAAGTAATGAAAGTAATAATTTCATCAGTTCCTAACGCATTCAATTAGAATAAAAAAAGAAAGAAGGATCTTCTCGAAGCAAGTAAGATAACTCTAACCTAAGTTATGACAGCCCTGTCTTTGGCTTACTCAATTAAAACTCAAATGGAAAGCGTATCAATCAAACTCAACAAAACTCTGCTCAGCAAAGTAGAAAAACCACATATGGTTCAGCAATAAACTATGGATCTCCAACACCAAAAAGTAAAATATAATTTCTTAATTAAAATATAACTATAGATGGAAAGATTCCTTGCAAATAAAGGATTGGTTCATCTCTATCAGTAAATTAATATTCAAAGGATAACACGGTTGACTCATTCAGTTCCTATGCACTCCAAAATCAGCAGCAAGCTAACTAGAATATTCAGAATAGAGGCTCCATAAGCAAAGGCAAATAGTGTTAAAACTTAGGTTAACCAAGTCTAAATGGAGATCTAATATCCAGAGATCGTTTGCAGTCTAAAGCTAAGAACTTAAATGACTATAATTCTTAAAGTGCCTAAAAGAATGCAGCTATTTTCAGTTCAATCAGTAATGGTAGAGGTTGTTATATGCAAGATTATTCTGAGACTCAATAGTTTTCGGCTAGAAAGAAGAACAATAACCTTAATGCTGATTCTTCGGGACAATTAGTAAAAAATGAGGATATAATGAAGTAGATAAAGAATATCAAGGTAACATGCATGGATGAACTAGCTTAAACTTTATGCAATACTAAGCAAGAGTAAATGAATGATATATATGACAATACAGAGAGGAATTAAGACACACCAGGCTTTACAGATATGAACATTCAGAATTAACCCTGTTCAGGCGAAACCTTTAACAACTATGTTTCTCCTCTCTGTGAAACAAAAACAGAATAGAACAATATTTTCATGAATAGTGGAAGCTACTACTCAACATATATGAATCATTCACTTAATTATCAGAAGAATAGTCCAACTCTCTTGAAGCAAACTTCCAGCATGTTTGATGAGAGGAAAATGGTTGGAAACTATTAAAATAGCGTTAAGTAACAACATTCCTTCAATGATTTTAATTGCAATGAGAAAGACTTTATTCCTGAACTGAAGGATGAATTCATGCTGAATGGATAGTGCGGTTTTAGCTACACATAACAAAATAACTCACATTAGGTCAAATAGGAAGAGTTTGGACAGCAGAGTGTCAGACCAAATATTGACCATAACTAGAACCAGAAGCAAGCTCAATACTACAGTCAGTTGAATGTAATAAATGAAATATTCGACTCAAATTCACTCACAAAAAGTTAAGTTAAAGAAGATGAAGATTTTTTCTATAAAGGGGCTAAGAGTGATGTCCAATTAAACTCTTCACTTGGTAAGAAGGGAGTTAAATTCTCTGATAATGTCCAGAAATAGAGTTCTCCTAAGAAAGTTGCATTGTTCAAATAAAAGCTTCAGTAAAAAAGAAGGAGAAAATAAGAGAGTAGTAGTGAATTAAGTGATATCCCTTGTAGAGATACTGTGGACATAGAGCGATCTGAAAACAAAATAAATGAGGATAGAAATAACAAAAAGAGAATTTAAAAGCATGAGTAAAAAGCTACAGATTAATTAATAAAGCATGGGAAATAAAATATGAATGATCAGGTTATGTAAACATGCGAATAAAAGTAAAACAGCTAGAATTATTCTTAAGAATCTAGAAGTAAAAAGGAACTCTTAGATAAAGTTGATAAATATTCATCTGAACATTAATCTAAACAAAAAAATAAGACTCAATAGCAAGACACTAAATCAAACCTCATCGGATAAAACCAAAAGACTAAGGCTAAATAGATAAGTAAAATGCTTTAAGCAATAATTTAAATCCAGAATATAGTAGGTGAGGATTCTGCTATCTTCTATTAATTTTAGATTCTCTTTAATGTAAAAATAATTTGTTTAACTAATAATTATAGAACTATTGTTTTGAAAAATTGATAAAATCATGCCAACTGGATTTTCTGATCTCAACTACTATCATCACTGTCCAAACTATGAATAACATTGACTAAATAATTAATGAAATGCTAAACTCTAGAGATGAATAGGTTAAGGAGTAAGTGACATAGATTCGAGATAACAATCTCTTGATCAGAGCGAGGAAGCTTGATGTCTTATTCAAGTTAAGTGATAAACTGGTTAACGAGCTCAGAGAAAAACATGATTTGCTTGATGAATAGCAATAAAATGTTACAAAATCCAATCAGCAAATGAAAGCAATTAGGAATCAATTGAACTAGTTATCATTATTAAGAGTATGCTTATTGCATCTATGGAGCCAATACAAATATAAGGAAATTTCAATCAAATATGGTCCAAATGCTACCCTAAAAACTCATGCTAATTACCCTAGAAAATTGTAGCAAACTATGAAAGAGCTAAAAGAGAAATATAAAGTCAAAGAAGAATATGATGAGTAAGTGCTTAAACTTAATTAAAAGTTTGACACTATTCTAAATTATGAAGAAAAATTGTAGATCTTGCAGCAAGAACTAGCAGAGATACTAACTTTTATACATAAAAATAATGAGAAAAGTAACTCAAAGAAGCTTGAATTGCTTAAATCTTCTCTAATAAAGTTAGAAAACTTTATAAGAAAATGCTAGCTTTATGGCAATAATAGGTTCTCTTCATATAAATAATCAAACATCAACCAAAATAGTGATTAAAAAAAGGGGTGTAATAACAATAATGATCGTGAAAAAGGTCAGAATTAACCTCTGTTAACTAGATCCTCTTAATAAGAAATCCATATGACTGAGGCATCTTTTATATTAGAAATACTGAAGCCTTAAGGCAGCAAATGTAGTCTATTAATTAGTGATTGCTATAAAATTTGATAATGATGAATTACATCACAAAGATGTCTCTTTAATTAAAAAGTGTGATGTTTCTTAAATTTAGCTATGATCATTTCGAGGATTGTTTAATATATAAATAAGTTTTAATAATATTAGTTAAAATAATTAAGATTATAAATTTAATTAGATGCCTATCCACTCTGTTGGGGTTTTGGGGTTTTGGGGTTTTGGGGTTTTGGGG